TGAACATGACTGGACCTTGGCAAGGGTAGGGATATGAGGTGGCTTCAAATCCATTTAGTTGTAGGAAGAGATAAATAATGGAAACAAATGGGTCTATAGAGATAAAAGGATTTAAAGGTCATACATATCTTATGATTACTAGAGAGTGCTGCCTAAATATTTCATAAGGATTCAGCAAATCCACTCTATCTCTTCTCTGCTTCAAACTTACACTTTCTCAAAAATTAAAAAGAAAAAAATAGTCAGGGTCAAGCCAGCCAACCAGCCAATGGTCTGGGCTCCCCCGACACCTCAACCGGCAGCCAGCGCCCCTCACACCCCTACTCATGCTCTTCTCTCTCATCGGATCCGAAGTCTCGGTCACTCTTAGTTTAAGACTCAATGGTCTCACTGGGATTAATGCCACAGATTCCTAAACAGTCTTCCCATACCCAACTTTCCTCGCCTTCCCTCTCCCTATCCCCAACCCACCATCACAATCCTGCAACCCACAGAAACGCAACCATCACACTGGCACTGGGGCAGTCGTCAGATGCAAACCTGACCTTGACCAAAACCAACCTATAGCTCTCCACTGCCTATAAAATAATTCGTATTATTTAGAACTGGCTCCTATCTTTTATCCTGACACAAGAGGCAGAAATCTAAGGAACACGACTGGCCCTTGACCAACAGCCAGCTATCTGGCATCCCTTCTAAGACATGCCACTCATCCACCTCCCTGCAGCTTCACTTCAGCAATATCCCAGAGTCAGGTAAACTCTTTACACTCCCTGAGCATTTATATCTGCTGTTGTATTTCTTTATTTGTTTCCCAAAGGAACCAGGGTGTGCTGAATTCTAAACAACTGTTCAGTGACTTGCAACACCGCCAGAGGCTCTGCACTGACTTCCTTCTCAGTGTGCAAAATGAAGACAAGAGTCAAAGGGATCATGAGCTGAAACAGACTCACCCAGAGAAGCACAGGCCCTGGATAAACAGGTAACCTTGATCTAAGATGCCTAGATTTCGGCAGCTACAGACATGTGACCTTAAAAGTGAATCAACAGCCCAAGAGCGCTTCTGGAATAAGCCTCCTCACACACTGACTTGTTTACATCGATCCTTCTTGCTCTGTACAGTCTTTGTAAATTGGCAGATCTAAGCCAACCCAGAATTTTTTTTAACTGAACTTTATATGGTTTAAATATATAACATGCAGATAACTCAGATATATTCATGAAATTTCTAGTGAGCAACTATGCAACCTATTTTTCCCTTCATGACATTTCTGCCCCCCTGAATACATTAAATCTTCTTAAATAACATAATTAATGAAATTAAGCTCAGATTTCTCAAAATCTATTTTTTTTTACAGTTTATCTTTAAAAAAATATAAAAACCTTAAACTGAGTGCCTTTTTTTTTCTTTTTTTGGTACCTGGGATCGAACTCGCAACCCCACGCTTACAAGTCAGATACTTATGCTGCTGAGCTAAATCCCCAGCCGAAATGAGTACATATTAAATAGATCATACAGTCATGAAATACAACCAACTATTAAATTTTCCAAAGCAAAGAACATGAGTCCATGTACTTTCAAGTATTTATGAAACAAGATGGGGTGAAAATAATTTGGCTCTGGCTAAAAAGTAAAACAAAAACACAGAGTAAGTTAAGAAATAAGACCTAAAGCAAAATTTGTATTTCTATAATCAGAGGTTGGCTACAGAAAGATTTAAAAACCTATCTTTAAACTGGGTGTGGTGGCACACTCCTGGAACCCCAGCGCTCTAGAAGGGTAGGGCAAAAGGACCTAAACATTCAAGTCCAGCCTGGGCAATTTAGCAACTTTGCAACACTTTGCTTCAAAATTAAAAAATTAAAGGGCTGTGGGACACAGATGTCAATACCCATGCCAGAAAAAAAATGAAAAAAGAAACCTATTATTAAGCTGTCACTCTCTATCATAGTACTCAGCTGATAGAATATCACATATTTCAAAACTAATTAGGACCAGAAAAAGAAGGGCAGATCAAGCGGCCTCCAATTGGAACGTATCTGTCCAACATGATAATATAAATTATTATTATCAAATGATTGTTCCCAGTCCTTTCGCCACAATTTTATTTCCTTAACCTAACTTAACTAAGGTAAAATTTTAAATGAAAAACTACTTCCATTTGAATGTGAATTTAAAATGCAAACAAATACTAAAATACAAATATACACAACACTAAAACTTTTAGTAATACTTAATTTTAAAAACCTCCAACGTATCTATCAGAGATCAATCTATACCTTCTAGTTAAATTTTTACCAAGAGATCAGTCATGACCTGCATAGATAACGGATTTCTCAATTTTTATATACACTGTTGATCATAATATAAGAAATGATATGGAAGCATTAATTCATAAACATGAGGAATTACTGTGAAAGAAAACTGCATTTTAATTCTTCAATAAATAAGGGACATTAGTATTTAAATAATACATTTTCAATTACTGAAACATGCACCTCTGTGACTCAGGTATCTGACTGCATTACTCTCCAGCAGTCCCTGGAGTAGAAGCCGGGCTTGCACACCCACAGGTCAACCAAAGGTCCTTTCACAGAAACACTTCAAACCTGACACTGAAGCTCCAGTTGTGCTACAGTTACAATGGACCAATCAAACTTTAAATAGTGAAAGTGCAATACCATAATATGGGCATTCTTTCTGATGTAAAGATAAAGATAACAAAACTCCAGTTTGGCCTGGCACGGTGGCATATGCCTGTAATCCCAGCACTCAGGAGGCTCAAGTAGGAGATTGGTGAGTCAAGGGCAGCCTGGAAAGTGAGTTCAAGGTCAGCCTAAATTATACAGTGAAATCCTGTCTCAAATGGATGGGGAAAAAAAACCCAAAAACTGCATCATGCTACAAAATATTTAGCAAAATACTTTACTTCAATGGTTTCCCAGAAAAATTAGCAACAAAACCACAGCAAAATACAACACTAAACTTTCTTAATATTAGTTGTAACTTTTATGACTAAAAATTGATTTTGATAAAAACCATCCTGGAGTTACACTGTGATAATGACCTTGTATGTAATTTATAATGCAAGACATGGTTCTCCCAAGCTTTGCATATTGTCTTTAACACTATTATTCTTTGATTAATTAAAATTAATGTCCATGATTAGAAAATGTGTTCATTTATTGAGTCTTGGATAAAACGTCTATGTAATGAAAAGGACTCGATTGAAAAACTTAAGACATTATAGAAATTTACAAGAGATAGGAGAAACGACCAAGCAAACAAGGAAAAAAGGAATTATTCTTTAATGTTCCTAAATCATCATGTTCATCACCATACAAAAATATCAGCTAGAAAAGATAACTCTTCAGAGAAGGAAAGTTAATTCCATCTAAACGTATCCTTGCTGTGGGGAAGAACCTAAGCCAAATTTTCCACTTGAAGTAATATGAGAATTGGGTTTGTTATAACAATTAAATTCAAAAGAGGAAGTCAGAATGGGGCACCTTGTGAATTCAATTAAGTTACCAGATCATCTTAATCCTACCTTTTTCTCTTGTAACAGACCATGAAACCTTATTCAATTTTGATAAGTTAATCTGATAACAAGTGAACTACAAATAAGAGAGCACTGTTTGTGTAGTTAAAACAATTAACGTAATTATCTGAACTCTGATTAGCCAGTTACATTGACAAGATATATAAACAGCTTTGGCTTGTAATATATTTGAGAACTGATAGCTTATTCATAAAGAACTGATAACTTATTCTATACTGTCGTTAGTTAAACAGTAATGTGACCACCGATGAAGAACACAGCCAGGCTGGATTTGGGCGGGACTTCTTGCTGGAGGGTCATCAAAGGAGAGTCAGTCCAGTTTACTGAGCTGGGTCTTCTACGATAGGGTGGGGGTAGAGCGAGGGACTTAAATGGGGTGCCCGAAGGGGGAATACATAGAGTGAGAAAGGCTGAGTATGCGGCCACAGCAATTGTAGCTGGGACGGGTGTGTCTCCAAACCCAACAGGCTTTGCTCCGGGCCTCGGAGGTGGCTCCTGCCTGCAGGAAAGGGCTGTGACCCTTCTCCGAGCCCTGGAACTCGGGTAGGGACTACGCAGGTGTGCAGACGGGGTCAGACCTATCATACAAGATCAGCTGTTTTCTCTTTGAGACAAGATGCTTCTGTATTGTTCGAGGTTAGCCTCAAATCCAGAGCTCCACCCCACCCGGTAGTTGGGATTACAGAGGTGCGCTGGCTGCCCTGACCAGCTCTGGTCAACTTTTGGGCTATTGATTTTGTAAATTAAACTACGTTCTCTTTCCTACACTTTCATAAGTATTAGTAAGAGAGGGGGTAAAAACGCCTACATTGGGAAACCATCTTTTGAAACAGTCCCAAGTTAAATTCAATCCAGAACTTGTTCCACGAGTTCATTGCTTAAGAAAAGCAATTCTTCGGTCTAATCTTTAGGGTAAAGAAAAATTACAAAACAAAAAGGAATCAGCGCTGACCAAGAACAGTTAGTTCCTTGTAGTAAAACTGAGCTGAGAACAGGAGAAAGCTCCCTTAAGCTCCGCTGGAAAAACCACCGCCCACCCACGGTATTAAAACACAGGAAACTTTGAGGGAACAAAAAGAGGGCCAAAGGAGGGGAAAAAAAATAGGCGTTCCCTCACATGACCACGATGAGCTGTTCTCGCTCCGGTTCTAATTTTATCGACTCTTCGGATTTTGGGGAAGGGCTCTCCACACATTCGCTCTAGGAGACAGGGGTAAAGGGGCGCCCTGGGCCCGGCCACGTCACCAGCTGCGCAGAACCCGGGCCAGGGCGCAAGGCTGGCTCCAGGACACCGCCAGGGGACGGGGCAGCGCGGGGCCCCCAGGAGAGGGGAGCATTCGGGGCGCCCCTCCGCCTCGGCGCTCCTCTGAATCGCAGGGCCCCGCCGCGCTCTGCGAAGTTGCGGGCGACCCGGGCGGGCTCCGGCGCGCAGCCTACCTGTGCCATGGCGAGCGCTGTGGAAGGGAGATGCGGACCTGCAAGAGAGTTCGGGACGCACGTCAGCCCCGCAGCCCGCCCGGCCCCGCAGCGCCCCCTCCCCGGGCCGGGGCGCCACTCACGCAGGCAGCGGACCCAAGAGAGCGACTCCGGAGCAGAGCGCGGGGCGGGACGGCGGCCGAGGTGCGGAGACCCAAGGTGAACGGGACTGCGCAGCACTTCCCGCCGGATCCAGGATCCGATGGGAAGCGCGCCGGCCCCGCCCTGCCCCGCCCTGCCCCGCCCCTCCCCGCCAGGCCCCGCCCCTCCTCCCCCTGGCCCGGGCTCAGCGCGCCTGCGTGGGCTGTGGGGCGCGGCGCTCCTGGTCCCGAGGCGCTGCGCCCTGGGTGGGGCCCGCGTGTAGCTCCCCCGGCAGCGAGGCGGCATCCTGCGGGGACCGCCTGTTCTCCTGTATTCCAAGAAGAGGGTGTGGGGAGCTGTCTCCGAGCGGGCTTTGGGACCCGAGGCCGCCTCCTCTCCCGGGCCGCGGAGCTCGGCCTGGCTCCGCGCCTGCAGGGCGGGGCGGAGCTCTTGGAATCCGGGCGGAGTCCTCGCCGCAGAGCACTGCGCGCCTCTGGCTGCGGGAAGTTAGAAGCTCATTTCCCAAATTGTTTCTTGCTTAACTTTTTTTTTTTTAACGTGCTAATCATTGCTTGTTAGATGGCCCCGTGGTGTATTGGGGGTGTGTTTAAGTGTTTCAAAATCTCTGCCAGGAATCGAGTTTCTATTTTCAAAACCTGCCTGTAACTTTAAGGTTAAACTCGATACACGTCCCGTACGGGTTCAACCGAAAGCCTATAATCCTACGTGGGCGAGGGAGAGAGGGCAGAGTGCCTGCAGAGTGCTGCGCTAGGATGATGCTGGAAAAGCAGCGGCGCAGGAAGTCAGCGCGCTCTGAGACTCGCTGCTGCGGGCACCCAGGGCGCGAGGCAGAAGCCCAGGACACTGGCTGTCCTGTGCGAGACACAGGTCACAGATGTTCCAAAATGAGAAGTGCACAGTGCTGTGGAGACTCTGGACAGCAAATGAGCGCGTAGTTTTTGAGAATGAAGAAGAAATGACATGAATGCTATTCTTTGTACAGAGTTCCTCATTTGCTTATATCAGTGAGGCACATGCTTCTTAGGCATAGTTACAGCAGAGCGGTGGTTCTCTGAAAGCAGGCAAAACTGCAGAGTAAGTGTAGTTTACCGCCCTACTAGGAGCCCAGATTCTTGTTCGGGGTGTCTTTCCTCTTCCCAGAGAGCTGCCGTTCCAACCCTTTCAGCCCTGGCCTTCTTAGAAGACTTACATTAGCGAGGTCAGACGTGCTTTTTCACTCTCCGTTCACCAGTAACGGCGGCTTTGATCTGGCCTAGAGGGTGTTTCCCCTCCTACAGTCTCTGAAGCTCCAGTTTCCTACAGTTCACTTTCTACCCTGCCCGTCATGGAATTACACCGCACCTCTCAGAGCCTATATTTAACGCTCGTTAGTGTTACAGGAAATGGTGCTCATTATGTGTTAATGACTAGCTCTGTGCCCTGCAGCTAAATAAAGACATATATTATTAGACCCAGCATCTTGACGTTTCTTCTACTTGCTGTTGCTTCAGTTTATTCAAGTGGATCACGCACAGTTCTAGGCTTATGGAAGTAAGCTAGGTCACATTTTCTGGTGGGGCAAACAGACAGTAAATAGCCAACATTTCCAGTGTGATGTCTACTATAAAGAAAGTTCAGTGTGTGAGAATGACAGGATCAGTATTTCCCAAAGATGATCTAAAGGCATGTCTGAGAAGACCTGAGAAGAAATCTGAATTTCCAAGGAAATTAGTATTAATGATTTAAAATATTTGGTAAGGATTTGAATTGGACTTTGCTGGGGGTGAGGGTATTTTATCAGGTAATAATAGGGGGAAACCTGAAAGAAGGAAAGTGCCTTTATCTGTGAGTGCTCACTAGAGAAACAGATTTAGTGCAACATACACAAATATATAAGGATTTACAAGATTGGCTTACAAGGGTCCAAAGAGTAACGGGAGAATTGAGCTTTGGCATGAAGTAAGCCAAGTCAGTCTGCTTGCTCCTAGTTGATTATGAACTGAAACCTCTACAAACTGTGAGCTAAATAAATCTCTTCTCCTTTAACTTTGGGTATCAGATATTTTGTCTCAGCAACAAGACAGGTTACTAGGACATCTTCTCCTATTTTTCCTTTGCCAGAGTCTTCCCATGGATGCAGAGCTAGCCTGGAGTTACACACACACTCCTCAAGGTACTCTGACACCCCACCCCCCCACCCCCCCCCCAGTCTCCATCTGCTGGTGCCAAGCACTCCAAAAGCATCACTTGCAATTTAATTGCCCTATTTCAAATGAGTTTTTCGGATAGAATATTTTAGGCTTAATTAAAATTCTCAAAACTAAATGTAAAAGAAGCAATTAAATATACTTATAAAAACCCAAACCTGTTGTCTCTTATTTATTGTTTAATCCCCACACGTTACACAGCACTTAGTAACCATTCATTGAATGTTTTGAATGAATAAGTGAATGAAAGAATACATTTCAGTAGGGGCCTGTTTGTTTGCTTGTTTAACAAAAGTAACACACTGCAACCTAGTATTATTCAGGATGATCAGGAGATATGCAAAAGAGGCCAAAGAAAACCTTGGGGAGAATTTTGTTAGAAAAACAGATGTATTCTCAGACAGGGATTTTGGATTCTGAAAAAGATTCATCCTTGACTGGATAAGGTTTTTTCTCATAATCTTACTAGTGTATGACCTTGGATGATAATTTGATTTTTACTTCTTGGCTAAGATTAGATGAACTGACTTGTTTAATACCTACAGGTAGCAGGAAGAGTAGAGACTAGGTTATTCTCTCTTCCAAATTTCTCTGAACTTCCCCATTTTCCCTGATGATGATTCAGTCCCTACCTGTCCTACTCTAAAACTAAAGCCCCTTGGAATCCACTCCCTGCTCTCCTATTGTAGGCTCTAGCTGTCACTAGCCAGTTAGTCAGCACCCATGCACAGCCCAACTCACTCCAAATCCTGGGGCCAGTTTGATGGAACTGGGGCACCCGTATCTGGGGTGTTTATTTATCCATTCAATGAATTTATTGTTTAAACATAGGCAATAGAACCTGTTCAGTTAGAACACTCAGTCTAGCGAACTATCATGGCTTGAGTCTGGATGTCCCCCTAAAGGATCATGCAGCCACAGGTAGGCCTTTTTCAGAGGTAGCTGAATTTAGAATGTGTGACTGATTCATGGTGCAGTGCTAGGCTTAGGGGCAGTAGGATTATGGATGAGTGATTATTAAATCATTCAATGATTGGTTTGGCACTGCTCTAATCCTGGTAGTTTAGAAAGAATATAAAATGTGCAGAAAAAAGCTGTTAGCTGTTATTGATTGCTTTGCTACCTTCTACTCACCATGAACTGTTTCTTCTCTGCAATGCCTGTTTGCTGAGCCACTCTGCCTTGGAGTCAGCTGATTATAGATCGAAACCTCTACAAACTGTGATTTAAATAAAGTTTTCCCCTTTTAATATTGTATGTCAGTTACTTCGTCTCACAAAAAAAATAAGATAGGGACTATGATGACACAGCAGAATTCTATTACATAAGAGCTACTGGGAAGAGTGGGATAAGAAGACTAGGGAGGTTCCTGGTTTTGATGGTTAATACACGTCTTAGTCACTGGACCACAGGATGCCCAGATGTCTGGCTAAATGATAGTTTTCAGTGGATCTATGAGAACATTTTTAGAAAAGAAAGAACAAAAATAACATTTGAGTTGATGAACTGCATAAAGCAAATTACTCTTCCAATGTACGCCAGCATCACCCACTTGGTTGATGTTATAGTTTATGTCTGGATGTCCCCCCAGAGCTTCATGCAGTCAGTGGGCTGGGCCTTTCTGGGTTGACTGGATCTAGAGTTTGTGGTTTTTCTAATGCTGGGATTAGGAGTATGAGCACTACGCTCACACTAGGCAGGTAGCATGCATAAAATATAAAGGAGGAAAAGTGGCTTCCTCTTTCCTTTTGCACTTGTTGCTTTTGCTGTCTTCCACCACCATGAACTGTTGCTCCTCAGCCATGCTGTCTGCCTTGGAGCCAGCTGATTATGGACCGAAACCTTCTCAAACTGAGCTAAGCAAGCCTTTCCTCTTTTAACTTGGGATGTTGGGTATTTTGTTTCAGTAATGAGAAAAGTAACTAAAAGAGCTGAAGACCTGAATAGAACAAAAAGACAGAAAGTTCAACTTTGCTGTCTGCCTCCCTTATGAGTTGGGACATCAGTCTTCTGCCCACAGTACTCCTGGTTATCAGACCTTCAAATTGGACAAAAATCTATAGATTATTATATCTCAGGCTCTTAGGGTTTAGAACAACATCAAAAGTTTTTAGTCGCTAGTATACAAATGCCAGAAAGTAGGATTCTTTGATCTCCATAATCACATCAATTATTTCTCCTAATAGTTTCAATATATAATATTTATTATCATATATCAATATATGTATATATTCATATATAAACATGTATATACATTTAAATATGTATATACTTATATAAAAATAATTAAAATGTGCATATATATAAATATAGTTATATATATAATTTCTCCAGTGAACATTAACTAAAAAATAAATTTCTGTCTACATATATAACACCCCTCATGGATGTATGGATCTTCCTTCACACTAAGCATTCTTCAACTTTCCAGACACCAATTGGATACACTATAATTTAATTTTTACAATTTAATTTTTACCAGAATTAATGCCTGTTTCCCCAAAATAAGATCTAGTCAGAAAATAATCAGCCTTTAAAACTAGAGAACAAAAATCTCAGTCCCAATCACCTTGTCTTACTTGCCATGGAGTAGCCAGCAAGCAAGAAAATAGTGAGGTGCAATCTTCTACATGACACACTGACCATCACCACGATCTCATCCAGCACTTATTTTCTAGTTAGATCTACCCATTCTATACAGGTTATAGCATTAGTAGTCCCACAAGACTGCTTCCACTTTAAAAGTTACTACAAGTACCAAGTTGTCACTTGTCTTTTTATAAATTAGTCAATTATCTATCAGTGTTTTCCATAACCTCTTCTTACTACCAACTAATTAGGGGGGAGGTCTTTTGCTCAATCCAAATAGCAATCAAAACTAACCAAAATGCAGCTCCCTTTGTGCTAATAGTTCTGATCATTGGACACCAGCAGCTCTCAGTTCTTCATTCTTAGTTCTTAGTGTTAGGGTCCCTCCTCACTGCTTCTGGCAGCTGGAGCAGCAGATATTGGAAGCTCTCTAACTCTACCAGCAGCTGAAGCCAAAGATCCCAGTAATTCTCCCATTGCTTTCTGTTGCTATTTGCAATGGCTGATAACTCTCATTGGCATTTTCACTGCCACCAGACTTTGGTGTTTCTAGCTCAGTCTGCTAGATTAAAATATAAATCATGAATAAGCAAAGTAAAAATCATCTTGTTTAAGACTTGTGCTACCGCATATGGGGAACCAGTAAAACCAGTACAGAAAAGAATCTGATAAGGATATGAAGAAGGCTAACTGTTTTCTTGCTCAGAGAGAAGTTCCTCCTTATGATCATGATCTCACTTGTATTAAATGCTTTTCCTCCATTGGCCTTTTCCTCTAGGCCAAATTAAGAAAAATGTGTAACTCATAATGCTGATGACTGCAAGTGACAGAAACCCTACTAAAACTAGTTTAGGTAAAAAAGAGAATATTTCGGAGGAGGGGTTAGTGCTTGGCAGGATCTTTAATTATAAACAGTAGAACCCATTCTAACTAATTTAGGCAAAACACTATTAAAGGACCCTAGGTAGCTCACAAAATGCCTAGCAGAAGGTTTGCAAACATGGCACTGCCCAAGTCACTCTGGCAACCTTTTCAGTGGAGAAGATGCCACTGTCACCAAGGATGCTGAGCATACACAGCTGGCTGGGGTCTCTGACCACTGTCTCTGAAAAGGCACCTCTCCCCACTATACAGGATCAGCATCATCAGAAGGTGAATTCCATGTAACATCAGTGTCCTTACATTGCTGCATTGTTCACTTCACTGTCCATAGCACACGTGGGTGTGCAGTTGCACAGCACTACTGGAGTGATCAGCATGTCTGCCGCTTCTTCCCAAAATAAAGTTCTCCTCTCCATTGTGAAGGAGAACCCAGGGACAATGTTTTCCAGAGCACCTTGTTAGAATTTGCCAGTGAGAGGGTTTTGCAGAGACTTCAAAAGCACTGAGAAAGTCAGAGTTAGGGTCAGAAGCATGGACCAGTGTGAAAGTCCCTGCAAGTTCCTGGAAAGGTCTTGGGAAACACAAGCTGTCAGTATTATTGAGGTTGCAGAACATGAAAAGTGGCAAATTTCTCAAAGATTGTAGCTGCTCTTTCAAGTCTCCAAGCCTCCTGGTAACCCCCAACCTCTTTGTACTTTAGGTTAAACTATACCAGGGTACCTACCTTGATATTGTCTCTTCAGGTTTTTAGAAGTTGGTTGAGTCACTGAAATAGGATCTTATTTTATTTTAGGTGGTTTATTTTAAAATCTCATAATCATTTTAGATAGTTTTCTTTCCCTTAACTGCACTCTGATTGATTCAGTTGAGTTAGAATATTGACTGCTATATAAATCTGGAAGTTACTTTAAAATAATGAAAAGGAGACATCATCAAAAAAGCGTAATATGAGACATCAGCCTCATGCGGTCCTGGAGTCAGCTGAATCTAGTGTTCGTGATTGGTTCACTGTATAGTGCTGGGATTAGTGGTGTGAGTGCTATACCCGCCCAGGGGCGGAGCCAGCATACAATATATGGGAGGGAAAGAAATGTGTTTTGTTTTTTGTTTTTTTCTCTTTTGCCCTGTTTGCTCATGCTGTTGCCACTACCCCACAGTTGCCCCTCAGCCACGCCACCCTGCCTTGGAGCCAGCTAAGTATGGACTGAAACTTCCAAAACTGTAAGATAAATAAACCGTCCCTTGCTTCACTTTGAGCATGAGGTATTTTGTCTCAACAATGAGAAAAAAGTAACAAAGATAGACTGCCTCTCCCCAGACTTTTCAGGAGACATTATTTTTTTTTGCCTGTTTAGAAGATCTTGCCAGACTGATCTAGTGAGGTCATTGTGAAAGTACAGTACAGTTTTCCTTCCATGACCACATAAATCTAACCTCTAAGTTCTGGATGTTTTCTTTTTCTCTGCTACTACCATGAGCCTGCTATTTTGTTCACAATTTTCATGTCATGTGTAGTTGCTATGTAATTACATACAATGTTTAGGGCCCAGGAGAGACTGAGTAAGGACTGACCCAGCCCTGATACGATTACTGCCTCCTGAATCAAAGTCTCTCATTGTTGATTCCAAACGATGGACATTCATAACATTGTTATCCTTGAGAAATGAGGTTGAAAAATGAATTCTAGTCTCAGCCTCATGAAAGCAGAATCTACCGTGCTCAAATTAAGTTCCCTGAAATGCAAAAAGAAAAAAGAATGAAAGAAAAGAAACGCAGGCCAACAAATGGAAAGAATGACATGCTGAGAGCTCTGTCTGTCTTGTTCTTCTGATGGACCAGCCTTTTCTTTGTGGCCAAAACATCAACACAGTTGGCTGTGGCTCCCATTCTCCAAGCTGCACAAAAGCTTTCTTTCCCAAACCTCAACTTGGAAGCATCTGCCAGGGTTGCCAAGGTCACAGGCCATCGTGACAGCCCCACTGCAATCACATGATCTCATGCAGCACTTCCTAGAAAAAAGAAACTGCCCCTGTAAACCGGGTCTTCTTCACCACAGCACCACTGACATTACCGGCTGAATAATTATGTGTCGTTGTAGGGAAAAGGGAACTAGGATATTTAGCAATGTCTGACCTCTACTACTATTAGCCACTGGCATCCACCCTCCCTAGTTGTGACAGACAAAAGTGACTCCTGACATTGCCAAATGTTCCCTGATGGAGAAAAAGTATCCATATTTGGGAAACACTCATCTCTAAAAGGGATTCCTCACTCTCATTAAGCTGTAGGGCCACGTTCCATTTCTTACTGTATACTCAGCCTGCACCAGGCCTCACCATAGCAATCCACACTTCTCAGTTTCTATCTCGAGCTCAAACCTGTACCCCAAACTCTAATATAATATGACTACCTGTTTGCTATATCTCAAACAGCATATTCAACAGCTAACTCAAACCCCAACATGCCCAAACCTAACTCACTGTTTTTCCTCTTAAAGTAACTTTTCTCCCACATTCTCTGTCTTAATGAATGCTATCAGTCACTCATAGCAGAAATTCAGCAGTATTTTTGGTCCCTCACTACCTGCCGCACATTGCCGTATCTGAGGAGATGGTTTCTAATAACATCTCTTGTACCTTGTATTAGCTCCTTCCTAGGTATTTGCAATTGCCATAGTTTTCTACCAGCCTCTTAATTTCTCCTCTTTCTAATTTACTTTCCAAATTGCTTTTTCCTAAATGCAAATCGTATCATACTGTTTCATGCTTCAAATGAATAGATATTTTGCAGATCTAAATTGCTAGTTGTAAGAGTGAATTCTTTAGCAAGGTATCCAGTGGCCTTCCTTAACTCTTTCACATTCCAGTCGCTAACTTTACCATCTGCTTTCCTGCTAAGGCACTCCTTAAAATCCCTTAGGTCTGCATTTGTTGTCTCCTTTTTCCTACTCAAACCCTCCCCTCTCTCCTCTCAGTTCACCTGGTAAACTCCTACTCCTCCCTCAAGACCTGTTGCAAGTCACTTTTTCTCTTGTTTTTCTCTTGAGCTTCCTCCTCAATCCTGAGTCTGGTAACACCTTGACTACAGCCTCGTGAGAAAGCCAGAACCACAGCCACGCAGATAATCTGTTACCGAGCTCCTGACAGAGAAATTGGGAGTCATTTTTTTTTTTAATGTTTGATGTTTTAAGCTACCAAATTTGGAGATAATTTGTTGTGGAGTGGTAGCCAGCATCCAAATAGTTTACACACTAGATCAACATGACTTAAGTTTTAGGCCCGAGTTCCAACTTTACCTCACTTAACTCTAAGTCAAGCCTCAGCTGGGTTTTGAATGACAGCAATGACCTGTCTTTTATTTCTTCAGTTTCAGAAACAGAAAAAATAACTTGTTAAAGAATATTAGGAGTATACTGTCTAATCAGTGTTCACAGAGGAAAAGTTTTGTCAGATACTTCATATGGCTTTAGGTTTCAAAATGGAAACTGAGAGAGAATCAGGGTAGTCTCCTTTGACATTCAAATTTCTGCCTTTCCCGAATCTATGAAAGTGTACACAATCAGATACAGATAGGAAGCAAGAATCTAATTCTAGTATTTTTGACAACCTGCTAGGAATATAATGTTGACTTCATAAAGGGAATTCTGCACTATAGTGGAAAAGTTCTAAACCTTTCCCATAATTTATTCATTTTAAAAATTAATGTGTAGGAACAACTACACATTATCCATCAAAAGAGAATCGCAGTTTAATGAAAGAGGATAAAGGATGTATTAAGTATGGGAAACCCTAGGTTCAGTCCCCAGCACAAGGTGGTGGGGGAATAGATAAAAATAAATGAACTATATGTTTTTATCGTGTGATGGTATTAGCAGTTTTAAAAAAAAACCAGAATACAATAGCATCAAATAATCTCAATAGCTTGTTGAGTAAAAAGAGACACTAGGAAAACAAATTCTGATTTGCTGTGTATAGAGTTCAAGAATCGAAAAACTAAGCTGTGGTAACAGAAATCAGAGTAGCTGCTGTCTTGGGATTGTAGGACTTTTGCTTGTTTTTCTTGTTTGAGGGTAAAGCTGATTAAATGCAGGAAAGAGATCTTTTAGAGATAGAAGAGAATTTTCCTATCTTGATTTGAGGTTGGCTACATAAGTGTACATAATTTTTTCAAAATTCATTAACTAATATATTCTTGTTCATTTCATTAATCAGATTTTACCTCAATCTAAAAAAGATAGTGCTTGATTTGGCAGCACATGTAATAAAATTGAAATGATACAGAGAATATTAACATAGTCCCTGTGCAAGGATGACACTCAAATTTGTGAAGTGTTCCATATTTTAAAAAATAAAATAAATAAAAAGTAAAAAAGGTAACAGTGCGCAATGACAAAATCTCTGTATTTTCCTATTGGAACAATAAACACTGTTTTTGAAGATCTAAATAAAGTATTCAGAACACCAAATAGAGCTTTCCTGTTACGCAAGTACAAAAAAGTATTCCTTAATGGTTTTCAGGCGCTACCTTGAAACTGTTCTCTACTGGAACCAAGATAAATACTCACCAATTTTTTTTCTTTCTTTTTCTTTGTGTGTGTGTGTGTGTGTGTGTGTGTGTGTGTGTGTGTGTGTGCTGGAAAGCAAACTCAGAACCCTGTGCCTGCCAGGCAGGGATTTGTACCACTGAGCTATATTCCCATCCCACTCACTTTTTATAAGCTCTGCCTTCTCTCACACTCTGGGCTTAGAGAAGAAAATCAACATTCCACTCTCCTGGCTCCTTAGACTTTGCTGGGAGCAAAAGGAAGTTACACCAGGCAGGCAAGGGATTCTCCATGCCCAGAAAAGCCAGCAGGGCAGAGCCCCAGGAAACCAAAACACAGCACTGCCTTGAGGGGTTCCCTGTGTGATTCAGCGTCTGATAATCTCACAGACCCAGAGGAGGAGGATTTTGGCATAGAAAGGAGAGTAAAAGAGGAGGAAAAAACATATTGAAAGGCTTTCACAGTTGCCATCTGAGGTTTCCCGAGCCGCAGATGTGGGCTGCAGCTGGAAAAGAAGGGGAGTCATCCACAGCCTCAGCCAAGCCTGAGAGGCAGCCAGCAGCAGCTCAGCGAGAAAAGGGGAAGCAACAGGCGGAGAGTGATGAACTGTGCTCCAGTTTGGGATGGAGAAAGCAGAAAAGGCAAAAACAGCGGATTCAGTGAAGCAGAAAGGCATCAAGTGCCAGGAAAATCATTTGCAGAGAATGTGAGCATCTACTAATGAAATCCAGACACCACGTTCATCCCTGGGTCTTCAGCATGCATCTTCTTGTGCTCCCCATGTAGGATTTGTCTTTATCTCCATCATCAAATAGGTGGTATTTTTTCTTTCGTGGTCCTTTATTATTTTACCCAACACTCACATCCCCAGGGTCCCTTACTTTCCTGGAAAAGCGCATCTCTACCACCTCCTGGTGACCCTCCTCCCACCCCCTCACTGCAGCCCAGCTCAGGTTGTGACTTCTAATCACTGCCTTCATCTGCAATTCTTTCCTAAACCAACCCTCTAACGCAGGTTAGGTATATTTCTGTGGCCCCCTAGCTCCAAGTTCATTCTCTAAACAAAGTTTTGTCACCTTATATTTTGGTGTCTATTGCTTTCCTTTGTTACCAGTTACATTTTATTGCGAGTATTGTATTAATTAAACTTCCAGGAAAATGGTGGAGTAGTAAGTGACAAGAACTCAGCTTCTCCAAGATGCGGAATCCAGATGGTAGAAAACAATAACCAGGGGCAGAGAGAGAGAGAGACAGAGAGAGACAGAGAGAGAGAGAGAGAGAGAGACAGAGAGAGAGACAGAGAGAGACAGAGAGAGAGACAGAGAGAGACAGAGAGAGAGAGAGAGAGAGAGAGAGAGAGAGAGAGAGAGAGAGAATGTCCAGGAAGCAGGAAGGATCTGTTAGGAAAAAAAATTTAAAGCCTATGGAGAAATTGAAGACAGAACACAGTACAGAGAAGAGAGGAACAATCTCTACTTTCTCTCTGGTTTCCGGCTCACTACTTATGTGACAGGGAGACCAAATCTACAGAGAGAAAGTGGAAACTGGGAACTTCAGAGGGCTTCAGCGAGAACAGGAGCACCTTGGAATGGACTGACTAATGCTGAGGTCTACAGGTAGAGCAGGCGATTTTTCTCCCACAGGGAGTCCCTTGCTAGGCAACAGTGGTGAGTTACTCCAGTCCAAGCACTCCCCATATCCCTGGAGAGAGTGCTTGGTCGGATGCCACTCTGGGGAAGGGTTGATTGTTTGAACCCAGGACTCAGAAGAGCCACAGGACTGTTTGCTGCAGGACTCCCAGTGTTGCATTCCCCATGACTGAGAGAGACAAGCATGGGAGACAGCTGCCATCAAGGAGCAGGCTGCAGAGACCCCCTGAGGGGTTTGAACTGAACAGCACAGACCCTGCACCCACGGCCAGAGGCAAGCTCAGCCTGAATTGCTCTGGATTTCAAAGCTGGGGCACTGGCACTCGAGGCCTGATCCTGCCTCCTGCATCCAGCACAAATCCAGGGACTAACAGTTTTCTTTATCTACCAGCGTGAGCAGGCACATGTCTTGACTTGGACACTGCCCCAAACTTACAGATCCCAGGAGAAAACTACACACTCAGAATCAGAGAAGTTGCCTGGTTTTCTTTTGCTTTTTTTTCTCTCTCTCTCTCTCTCTCTCTCTCTCTCTCTCTCTCTCTCTCTCTCTCTCTCTGTGTGTGTGTGTGTGTGTGTGTGTGTGTGTGTGTGTGTGCATGGCATCACTTTTTGTTCTGTGTTTGGTTTCTTCTTTCCTTTCTTTCTTATTCATCTATTCACGGGGATTTGGAGAATTTTCTTTTCCTTTTTCCTTGCTGTTTGTCTTTTTCTTCTTTCTTTTCTTCATTTTTCCTTTTCCTTTCAATGTATCTCTTATTTTTACTCTCCATGTGATTTCTTATTTTTCTCCTTCTTTTCTGTACCTTCTACTTGTCAGTTTTTTCTCTTAACCTTTTCCTAGTTTGATAACTATCCTTTTACTTACAATATGATCATTTGTACCACTTCTCTCTCCTTATTCTCATATCATATGCTTTAAGGTTTTAAATTTTCCTCTTGCATTCCCAGGTCTCTGGGAATATCATTAAGTCCTTATTAATCTTTAAGGATAGTTAACTCTATAAAATTACTATTGAGATCTTTTCTACCAATAGTAGACAAATAGCTGTCACATTTAATACTCATTAGCTGTAAGGAAATACCTGGACTATCTTAATGTTTACACCATAATTGTGGATTCTTCACTAGGATTAAGGATGATATGGATTGTGTTCTTAAATAAGATCCAAAACCTACAATAGATATTCTGTAAGGGAAAGAAATTGCTCAAAAGGAAAGAACAATTGGGATGGAGGAAAGGAGAAAAGAAGGAAAACAAAACATATATATATATATATATATATATATGTGATAACTAAGATAATTACACTAATTTCTTGTAGTTCATTGAACAGAATAGTTTCTGCTTATATTTTTGATCAATTTTACATAGGTATATCTTGTAATATGAGCAACCACTTTGAAGATAAAGATATGCAATATATTAACCAGTTAATTCCCTCTTATATTGTTATGAAATTCTGTATCATAGCTTTTATTGTTTTTTTCTCTTTAAAATAAGAATAGTAATAATATTCAATTTGTCTTGGATTATACTATTGTAGTTCATTTGTTGGGGTAACGTAACTGTTGCTATTAATAGATTTTCTCTGTAAGCCTACACTCAGATCACCTTTGTGATATTTATAATGCTACAGTATATTCCTAGAGAACTCCTTTGGGCCAATTACCCTTCATCCTCATCTCCCAAATTAACCAAGGTGGTCAGATTTTGGGGCTGAGGCAAAGGACCATAGTTAGCCACAACAAAAGTATATCACTGAAGAGTAACTAACTGAGGATATATCTATACTAGCAATAAAGTCTTTACATTATAAGCATCCACAAACTTCAGCAAAAACAAAAATGAATAAATACTAGGCACATGAGAAAGCAAAATATCAGAATGCCTCGCATAACTCTCAACTCCCTTGAAGCATATTTGGAGGTTATTAAGGGCAAAATAACAGAATCCAAACCTGAATTACTCAAAAAGACAACAGAAGAGATTAGACAACTAATCAAAGAGGTACTCAGCTGGATTACAGAACTTATAAATAAACAGCTATGGAAGTAATAATCAAAATTATCCAAGAGCTTTCCAAAGACATTGATGAAAAGCTAGATAAGCAAAGAGTAATACAAAACATGAATGATCAGTTTAGCACAAAATTAGAGTCTTCAAAAAGATTTCAATCAGAAATCTAGGAGATTAAAAATTATATTGAAAGTATGGGAATCAAAAGCAACCAATGGAAGGACAGAGCTTCAGAACTAGAGCAAACAATCCCTTCAAAGACTGACTGCTTGAAGACACCTTAAAACCAATAAAATACACATTAAAAAACCAACAAAGACACCTTAAAACCAATAAGAAAAATGGATCCAACTGCTCCTAGATGACATAAAGAAGACTAACACAAGAATAATTGAAATATATAAAAAATAAGATGATAACAAAAATGCCACAAAACACTTGTTCACAGAAACAATAACACAAAGCTTCCCAAATATAGGGACAGAAATATACAGATCAGTAAAGCATATAAAACTCCATGATCAAAAGAGAAGCTTTTTGTACTACATCATATTAAATGTACCGGGGAACACCGCAATCTTTGACTTGAAATTATCCTACAAAACTACTGTGATACTCCTAAAATTCATTTGGAAACAGAAGAAACCTAGAATAACAAAGGTGATACTGGCAACAAAGGCAATGCAGGAAGCATCTCAGTTTCTGAGTTGAAACTATACTACAAAGCTACAGTGATAAAATCAACATGGTATTGACAAAGAAATAGACCTGAGGGTCAATGGAACAGATTAGAAGATGCAAACACAACTACCAAGACACTCAGCCACCTTATATTTGACAAAGGGGCTAAACGTGTTCACTGGAAAAAGGATAGCCTCTTTAATAAACAGTGCTGGAAAAATTGGCTTTCCATATGCTGAAGACTGAAACTAGACTCATGCTTATCATCATGCACCAAAGTCATAATGGATCAAAGATCTAAATATTAAAACAGAAACACTAAATCTACTAGAAGACAAGGTAGGTAGAAATCTTGGAGACATAGGGGTAGGCAGAGAATTCATGAACAAAACATAAAACACGTGGGAAATACTTTAAAGAATCAATAACTTGGATCTCATTAAAAAGTTTTTG